TAGTGTAGATGTTTCTATAAAAAACACTAATGTTTTTTACTGGTTTCGTTCAAAGTTTTATATTGAGTGATAACTTAAAAATAACCTAAAAATCTGGCTTAGAAAAAAATGTAAAAAATTGAGATGTTCTGCTGGTTTAAGTGGAAGTTATTGTTATTATTGCATCACACCATATTTCTGTTGGTGGTAAATTAACTTAACTTTTTGTAAGTGCAATTTTTCATTGCTATTGTTGAGATTTTGTTTTTCTAATAAGTTTTTTAGTTCCAAATCTAGTATTTGTTCTTCTCCTACCATTTTAAAATCAATTTCCGAGTCTATTTTTTCTACTGAAATAACTCCATGCTATTTAAAAAATCTGCAACTATCACTTTTTGCTGCCTACATAGAAAACATTAATTAGTGAATTTCATTATCTAGGATCTATTTGTTTGGGAAAAAATTGCTTTTTCAATAAAGTGTCTATTTTCCTATTTCAAAATTCATTAATTAACGCGAGCACTTTGTCAAATATACTAACCACCCGGTATTTTAAATTTATAATTAAAACCTTAAACCATTCCTAACTGTATTTTTAATAATTCATTTTCTTCTAGTTGTAAATTGGGTCCTGAATTCCGAAGAAGGCAAAACGAATTTCCTATTTCTTCAACAAGATGCATCTCTTTTGGAATTGGATGTTGACGAGAAGAAAACAGTTAACAAGAAGTTTAGCACAAATTCGTATTGTTTAGATGAAAACAACTACTTTGGAAGGTAAATAATTAAATTACTTTTATACAGGGTGTCCCAATAGTGTGTGGAAGTATATATAATTTTTAAAGTTACCAATGGGTGTTTCCAAAGTAATCTGAAATATTGTTCTGGACGACTCGTCATTCAATTTTAAGACGAAAAGCTCCTAAAAACATGTGTAAGATACAGAGTGTTGGCTTTTTTATTATTTTAATAGAAGCAGTAGTGTGATAAACATAGATATAAAAGTAGCAGATATTCAAAATGTCTCCAGCTAAAATACAAGCATCGGTTCGACATATCTTCTTTTACAATATTCCAAACAGTTTTGTTACTAATAATTACTTGTTGAGCAATTCGTCTGGTACTCGTATCTGGATGTTCTTCAATAATTTGAAGAACCTGATCTTCTAGTTGTGCAGTTCTCGTAGTCTTAGGTTGTCCAATAATAATACTATTATTTGTTCTTGCAAAAGTTCCAGTTTCTTGTAAACATGATAAGCGTTTATTTGGATAACGCTAAACATATATAAGTCTAGCCTGTAGGGAATTGGCATTAGTTAAACCATACAAGAAATGCATATTAGCCATTGCAGCATTAACAAACGCAGGCAACGCTGACAACTGAACACACTCAAAAGGAGAACTGCTGTTACAACTAAATTGGAAAGATACAAATTTCTGTTGGTTTCTAAGTTTGACACAGTAATTGTTAACATTCCAAAGGCCACTTAGGATAAGCCTGTTCTCATCAGTTATTTTTTGCTTCAATATATTTTTTAAATAAATTAGGCTATGTCCCAATAAAGAAGCACATTTGATTCATGTCTTATATTATTAATCTTCATATTTTAGGTAAGGATTCTCCATTATTAATAAAACATCCTGTATATTGTAAAATATAACATTAATATTGTAAGATTAGGTTTTTTTTAAACAGGTAAAAATGGCAAGGGCAGCTCCAGGAGGGCTATGGGGGACAGCCCTTTCCCCGAGATGAAAATTCTTACAATCCTTGAGCTTTTAATTTAAAACAATATGTCAAAAAAGGGAATGACCCCTCCCGAAAATTAGCCCTGAAGCTGCCAGTGAAAAATGGCCAGTTTATATAAATCATTTAACAAATTTATGCCCACAATATTTAAAACATTGTTTTTTGTTCTAATTATTATAAACATTAAATAATATATCGTTTAATATATTTTTAGTGGTCTCATAGCATACATCAATCCTTGTGTCGAGAACATGTGCTTTAGAAAATGCTGCCCCAGAAAATGGCACTACAACACTATGCAAAATGAATGTGTAATGGACACCCCTCTCAAATTCCAACCGGAATTTTATTTCACCACTACGAAATCAGAAAGGGACATCCCCTATTATTTATTGCACGGTGAAGTGAAATGCTCTTTGACCGATTCTTTGAAAAAAATAAATGCACGTCAAAATGATCCCGTTTACGTTCAGGAAGATGGATTCCTTTTGGTTATCGACCACAATAAAGGACATTACTATTATTACGATAATAAAAGGTAGTAGAGATTTTTTTATACTGTGCACTAGTACTTCAGTTTCATTTTCTAGAGACTTAAATGCCACTTTCAATCCCTTGGGCTTAAAAAAGGTTTAATTAAAAATCTATTGAGCCTACATATATTCTAATTTCAGCCTTAAATTTAAGTAAGTAAAATTAAAAATGATTATAGACAATATATACGTATCTATGTGAATGTTACTCTTAAAATATACATTATAGAGTGTATAAATTGTGGTCGTAGAAAAATATGGTCTCTTAGTACCGAATTTTCAACAATAATCTTGTTAAACAAGAAATTTAATGAAATTAATATCAGTTCTATCTTTTATATCAATGACAATATTTTATGGTCACTATTGAAGTTATTAATGTTACTTTTAGCCCATAGATGACATTAATTTGGTCACGTGTGATACCTGTATTGTTGAACACTCTGTATATACTATTAACACTATATTATTGCATATGCATCGATAGATTTATTAGTTTTATTAACTAATTAATTAAAACCAGTAATATTGGACACAAAATAAATTTTACAAACCGCGAGCAATTATTAGTTTCCAATTCACCAAGTATGATGTCTTTCACAATGATGTTAATGACAGTTTTATCTGTTAAATCTTAACGAAATTTGTTTTAGGTATATCTGTATAGTTTTTACCTTCGATCATATAAACAGTAGATACATCATTTTGTCTATTTTTATCTATCATGAAACTAAAATAGTCTTTAAAAAAAGAAAATCGATAAAGAAATTGTAAAAACAGGGAACTACTCAGAACTTACATTCTACACCAAACCAAAATGAAAAGTGGTCTTTTTACACAAACCAAACGAACACTATTATTTCCATTCAAGGGGGACATTTTTTGAATTTAATACGATCTTTCAACGCAATTTAAAACAAAATATTTAGCATCTTTATTTTTGACCTATAAACATTTTTTTCTTATTAGTATTCATCAACTATTAGAGGAATATATTTTTTTAGCTATTGCATTGATATGTTTTCGAACGGCTTGGAGAAAACATATGTAAACGGATTTTACTGTCAAAAAGAAGCGAATTTTATGCGTCCAGAAGATGTGGATATAAAACAATTTTCCGGGGAACTACTAAAACATTCTTTTGCTAATCCTTCGTTTGGAACCAAAATTGGTGGAGATGAAACGCAGATTAAAGAAAACAAAACGAAAATTACAAAGATTTCCAAGAGCGGTAAGAGTATTAAGAAGACGAGATCTAATCCCGAATATAACCAACTTACACCAAACACGTATGTGGTCGATGAAAAGAGCTGCCAGGAAGTCGTTTACGCCAAGTTGATTCTTGCTGTATTTAATGTGTTTGTAGTTATTTTTTTCTGAAAAATTAGGTAGTTATTTCCATATAAAGTTTGACATTCTGATTAATTTTATCAAATAATTACATCTAGAGATGTAAAGTTATCTAGTAACAATCTTAAAGAATTTGAAGTGGTTTTTTCTTTTTTATTAGTCACACTGTCAAATTTAAAATGGAATGTAGATTAAATTTAATCATTTTCTTTAAAACTAAACCGATTTCTGAAAAAAGGTGGATTTATTATAACTAATATCACAAAAAAGGTACCTGCTTCATTAAATCCTTTTGGTGAAAAAAAGAAATCGATTTTAGTAAACTTTTCGTAGTTTTTTTGTTTAATATGTATGTACAATATATATTATTAAAATTTTCATTGTTTTAAAAAGTTGTTTTTATTTATTTTCAATCGATGTGAAAGTTGGTAGGCGAATGTTATGTTCTCAATATCTGTAGAAGTGAAAAAGCAGATAAAAAATACTATATGATTCTATGTCGTATATCCAGGGCCGCTGAGGGCCAGGTCGGGCCCCGCGACAACAAAACATTAAGCCCTTTTAAGGTCACAAAAAAATAGGTTTTCAAGCAAAAGCTTCTTTCTCCTCTTTAATGAAATCTCTAAAAAAAGGTCCTGAAGAAAAAACTTCTCCTCCTTAGTGAATCTCTAAAAAAAAAGGTCCTCCCCTTCTGCTCTTGTGCTGAACTTCTATAAAAATAAAAAACGTGAACTAAAGCTGCCGGGCCTCCACTTGAGCCCGGGCCCCGGGAATTAGTCCCGGCTATCTTCCTTCTGCGTATATCATAGCTTCAGAAAGTCTAGATACCACTATGGGTATGCTGTCAATACAATAAAATGACCCCATTCATGTTGGTCGCCATGTTTACTGAATTATGTTTGAGCAACACTGATTTTTAGTTCTTGTGTTCTGTAATAACACTGATAATATATACTTTGTTATTATTTGTGAGTGAGAGACCCACATACTATGATTACTATACGGTGCAAGAGAGAGGTCCAACACGCTCAACAGGGCGCGACCATTTTGATGCCTTTACCACAGTTTATAGTTATAATATTGTGTGACACTGACAGCAGCAAGCAAAATATTAAAAATATTGCGCCAAGATGTAGGCAACACGTAATAAGGCATCAAAATGGCGGAGTTTTCTATCTCCTTTTAAGAGGCACTCAGAAAGCTGCGCAGTGCGACCATTCTCCGTATAGTAAGATACCATCAAAGTATGTGGTGAGGCCACTTTGATTTTCTCTTTATGTGATATATGAAATCAAAATTTGTTTTTGATGCGGTATCTAGGGCTGAAAGCTATGCAATTACTGCATAGTATCAGTGATGTCAACTTTAATACATTTTTCTGACAATAATGACAATGACAGATAATCATGAGTGTTAACTTATCTTATTAGGCATTCCAAACTGAATGGCTACCAATGGGTTTTGACAGATTATGATATGGAAAAATTATGGCAACCCTGTAGGCCTGGTGATTTGACAAGGTCAAAGAAATAGATAGTTACATAGATTGATCATCCATATTTTTCAAAATAAACACAAGCTTATGTCTTGAAGTCAAAATGTGAGCAGTTATAATTTTTTTAATATCTAAAGGCTGAAAATTGGTTTCAAAACACATTTTTCTAAACCGATTCAAATTAATAAATATTTGCCAGGCAATATGGCCGCTCACAAACGACCAGCTTTGAGCAATCTATATAACTATATATGTATCATTGACCCTGTTAATGACAACATGACAACAGGGTTGCCATATCTAAACTGTCAGTCCCCACTGGTAGCCATTTAGACAGGTCGTTGGAATGCCTAATTCGACAATAAACGTCAAAATGACAATCATTTTTCAAAATGATTAGTACGAATTCATCCATACATCTCATTTTAACTGAATTTCTACTTCTTTGTATAATTTTACCCCCGTTTCAACATGCCAGTGATATGTTAGCTGTTAATTCTAAACCATACAAGATACCAACTAATTTTAATAATAAAATTAAACGGGATATTTCAATAATTGAGGATGTTGATTTGGAAACGACAAATATAACATTCAATAAATGTTGTAAAGAAGATGAACTTTTAGATTTTAGATCTACTTGTGACAATCAAAAATTGAATGATTTTCAACAATCGGATTTTGTAAGCATATTAGAAAGTTTTGTAATAGATGAAAAGCTGCAACCTACAAGGATAAGTACTTCTAGGATTTCCCTTAAATATAATTATTTAGAAAAACTTCGAAAAGATAACGCTGTAGGTGAGAAAATATTTAAAATACAAAGTAGAATGCAGTAATATTATTATTTTTAGTTTTTAGTTGGAGTGTGGAACAAAAACTTTCTGAAGCTCTTTATGTATTTTCTATAAAAGATGGATCTTTACTAGAATTAGACCGTAAAAATTCAAGTATTATTCATAGTTTTTCGTCTGAAAGTTACTGTTTAGATAATAATGATTATTTTCATAGGTAAATTATAAATATCTTATTTTTAACTAAAAAAAAAAAATCACAAAAAAACTATACCACATCGAAAAAGATCACAACACAAGTTAGACCGATTTTGAGCCGAACACAGTAATCTTACATTCACAGAAAAAAGGATTGCATTCAATTTAAATCTCTCAAAACATTTAAAATAATAATTTATTGTACTCAATATGTTTAAAGCCGGTACTGTCCATATAATAGGGTGTTCCGCGAATGTACAGCGCCGGTCTCCGATTTACGTATGGTAGCAATAGCAATTCTTACCTACGCCACTGAGTATCTTAACTTTATCTATGGTCGTATATGCGCGGTTGACTTTAAACGTATCTTTCGGGAAACATATAGTTTCTAGCATTAATTTTAATATTAAAAATCATTCATGAAGTGTGTATAGGAGTTGTAAAGACGTCTTAAAAAACAAAGTTGTTAAAAAGTACTCAAAAAATTACTTTAACTTTATTTGTTCTCCAAATTATTATTATTTTTTTAGAAATATCGTCGCCTTCATCAATCCCTGTATCGACTACTTATGTATAAAAAAATGCTGTGCCAAAAACCATTTCTACAATACACACTTTAAAGATTGTTACATAGATGAATTAATGAATCCTCCAAAACTGAAATTTTATTTTATGACCTCTCCTAGTACCAGTACTATTCAATATTATTTTATGTATGGACTCCCGAATTGCTCTAAAAATGTAAGCAGAAAAATGATCAAAAATGATAATGATGCTCCTCTATATATACAAGAAGATGGATTTCTTTTAACGGTTGATGAAAAGGCTAATTCATTTCTTTACTATAATAATAATAGGTAAATAATTACATAGTAAAGTTTTGGCTTTGTCTAGATCCATTTGCATTGAGTCTATCATTTGCCACAAATAATCTGAAGATGAGCAAACTTTTAACACTGTTTTGTTGTGAATTTTACACTATTAAGTCACTAATTTTTATTTAAGACTGTTTTTCAATCTAAAAAATTTTTTTTTCGTTATTCATTTATTTATTTGTAATAAAAATGACATAAAATAAGCTTTAAAAGTTTGTTCCTCTTTTTCTTATTTAAATTACTTTATTTATTTATGAATATATAGGCTTGGTTAAAAATTTAAAAAATGTTTAACAACATTACGTTAATAATATATTTTTCCTAGTGTATAATATTCCATTAAAAACTGTTTTTTTTTTATCATTATTAACTAATTAATAATTCTAACTATTGTTATTAGATCAATATTTTTTTCAGTTTCTGCACTGACCTATTTTCAGACGGCAAAAACAAAGAAGTCTTCAATGGGCTTTATTGTTCAGAAGAATATATCTCTAGCATTCCAATTGCAATTGATATGAAAGCTTTATTTGGAGATACCACAAAAGTACCCGAACAAACGCAAAAGCTTAACAAGACAATTAAAACAAAAATGAAGCTTTTAAATGTCAACAGGTCATATTTCATCGCCAATAAAAACGAGTATCTTATGGATAAATTAAAACCTAAAGGATTATCGAATAGAGTAAGCTTCCAGAGAAATATTTTAATTTGTTTGTTGACAGTAATTTTGTTTTATAATACATGATAATAAAAAAAATCAACAAAATTATTAATTTTTTCTTCTGATCGTGGGTTACATATAATTGTTTAAAACGGTCATACATATTGAAGAAAAATTTTCAAAATAATAGATTGTTATTTGAAGACGTACAAATTTTGAAATATTGTTTAGGACCAAAGCTAAGATTTAAGGTATTCTAGCAGTTATTGTGTGGTATCCAGTGACATACCCAGATATGGATCTTGGGGGGATAACAAAATTGAACATGGAACACATTTTTATTATCAATTTGAATATTATAGTCCCCTAGTCCAGGAGCTGAACCATATTACCGTTTTTAAATTGCCGTGAAAAATCACAACTTAAATTTTTATTTATTAAGTTATTTTTAACACATGTATGATGTATTTGATTTAGTAATTATTACAAAGCAATTTAGAGGTCTCACTCTTATTTTTTCTTAAGATCACTAATCACTTTGATGATGTGTTTGAGTTTGCGGACGTGCTGGGACTTCCTGGGGGGTATATATACCCATTATCCCCCACCACGTGGATACGCCACTGGTGGTGTATAAATATTATTTTGACTACTTGATAAATGTTATAAATTAGATTAAAAGGTCTTTAATTTTAATGTTTGCATGATGGTATGTTTCTTAATTCTATACTTACCCATCTTCAGTAGTTTTTAAATCGTATTTCATCCAGAAGAACTTACCTGAAAAAGAAATAGTCATAAAAGAATGTTTCTGCAACAATATAGTTTTTCAGTAAATTTCGTTATTTTAGAGGAATGTTAAATAAAATAATAAGTAATAAACTTAATGTAACCGAACTAGTTTTAATTATCTGACGACTTTAGAAAGTTTCAACCATAACTTAGTGTATTTTTGGTCTTTTACACTTTTTGACTTGTTGATAACACCCTATATTTTCTAGTTAACGAATTTATCATTGTTAAAGGACCATTCATTTCATGGATTATATACGTCAGAAACCAGTCAGAAGAGAAGATCAAAAATACATTATAGTCCAAAAACAAGAAGTCAAAACAAGTTTTTAAATAAAAATAAATAGAGTAAAAAAGAAGAAAAGAAAATAAAAAAAATAATTTAATTTAAAACAAGCAGATTCTTTTGTAAATTTACACTATTATATTTTGCTTACTTTATTTATAACCTTGGTGGAATTATTTATTGGTTTGTTTGGTATTTTTCTGTTTATATTTGATAAACATGGAATTTAAGAATTTGTGCATTGGTCATTGGAATTCTCGTTCATTATTGTCAAAAATAAATTTTATTAGAAACGAACTTGGAAATAAAAAATACGACTTATTTGCCATATCGGAATCCTGGTTGAAAAAGAACATATCTGAAGATTCGATTAAAATTGCTGGGTATAAATGTTATAGGAATGATCGAAATGATAAAATTGGAGGAGGTGTTTGTATTTATGCTAAGGAATTTTTAAAAATTAAAATAATAGACGATTTCAGCAGTAATGAATTTTACGAACAGCTATGGGTAAGTCTAAGGGTAAATAATAAAACCGTTTGTATTGGAGTCATTTACCGTCCCCCCGAGACTAACATTAATAAATTTTTAGATACATTTGAAAATGATATATCTCTACTGTCTGTTGAATTTAATAACTTAATATGCGTTGGTGATTTTAACATTGATATGTTAACCGAAAGTGACTCAACGAATACTCTCAACTCACTATTCGAGGGTACTGGTCTAATATAAATAGTAAATGAGCCAACACGTAAAGATAGTCTATTAGATTATATAATTATTAATGATCTTTTAGATTTTTCTAAATTAAATGTCATAGATGTAAATTTATCTGATCACTTTCTCACAGAATGTACATTAAATATTAAAATTACAAAAAACAGTCATCAAACAAAAACGTACAGAGACTTTTCTAAAATAAATTTAGAAAATTTTAATGTTGATCTTAAATCAAAGCCTTGGTACTTAGTTTATGAAAATGCCACTATTAATGATAAAATCAAAATATTCAATAAACTTATTACCCAATTATTCGATGTACATGCTCCACTTAAGACCATAACCTTTAAAAATAGTCCTAAACCATGGATCACTGACAATATAAAATTTATGATTAATTTACGAAATAAGGCGTTTACTAAATACAAAAAAACAAAACAAAAATCTCATTGGGATTATTATAAGAATTTAAGAAATTATATTACACAAGCCATACGTGCAGAAGAAAAAATCTATTTCAATCAAAAATTTTCTAATGCCAATAATAAACAAAAATGGAAAATAATAAATAAGTTTACCGGATATAAGAATAGTAATAAGTTTCAACTTTCCTCGAATTTCGATGCGAATGACATCAATAAAAACTTCTTGAAAATTAATGGTTCTGTCATTAACCCTCACCCGGAAACTCAAAATTTTTACCAAAACAACTTTAAAGAAAATTTTGAAAATCTGCTTGAATTTAAAGAAATGGATGAATATAATATAATTAAAATTATTCTTAAAATTAAAACCGAAGCTTGTGGAACCGATGGAATTAATGTCACATTAATTAGATTTCTTTGTCCCTACCTAATTCCACATATAACTTATAAATTTTTGTCTAAAAAATTCTGTTTTCCCAAATATATGGAAAGAGGGACTAGTTCTTCCTATTCCAAAAGTCACTTCCCCTGAAAACTTAAATGATCTTCGTCCCATAACTATTCTGCCTACACTTTCAAAGGTTTTGGAGAGAGTTGTAGAGGAACAACTTCGAGAACACACTGATAAATATAAAATTCTACCACTCACACAATCGGGATTTAGATCGGGATATAGCTGTGGTACGGCCCTATTAAATATTACGGATGACTTTCTGAAGGAATCCGACGCCAAAAATGTTGGTTTATTAATTCTGCTTGATTATAGTAAAGCATTCGACATGATTAATCACAAATTGTTTTTATCCATTTTGCATTTTATTGGCTTAGGACCAACCGCAATAACATTTCTTAGAAACTATCTGTCGGGAAGAACACAGAAAGTATTATATAATGGTGTATCGTCTAGCGTAGAGCAAGGTGGGCGAGGAGTAGCCCAAGGTTCAATCCTAGGCCCTCTTTTTTATACAATATATACAAACAATTTGTGTTCGGTTTTACAATATTGCAAAGCTCATATGTATGCTGACGATACGCAGTTATATATGTTTTTTAACAAAAACGATGAATCAGAGTGCATTCAGAAAATAAATACCGATCTAAATGCCTTGGTGAAAGTATCTACCCAACATAATTTGGTGATTAATTCAGAAAAATCAGCTGTTATGTTTTTTGGAGCTGCTTCTTCTAACGTGTCTATAAAAATTAATGATGTGGCTCTACCAACTGTTCAAAAAGCAAAAAATTTGGGGATAATACTAGACAATCGACTGAAATTCACAGATCATGTTTCTTATGTTCTACAAAGATCCTTTTTTAAACTAAAAACTTTATATCATAGCAGACATTTATTTGACAAAAAACTAAAGATACAACTCTGTGACTCTCTCGTTCTAAGTAATGCAAATTATTGTGATTTTGTATATGGACCTTGTCTTTCAGTAACAGATTCAAATAGGTTACAAAAATTACAAAATGCCTGCCTTCGACTTATATATGGAATTAAAAAATTTGATAGAATTTCCCATACACTAGCAAATGCCAGATGGTTAAATATGTTAAATAGGAGAAAACTTCATTCATTAACCCTGTTTCACAAAATTTTAATCAAAAAAAGTCCTCCATATCTTTGGAATAAAATTATTTATCGTTCTGATGTTCATAGTAGAAATACACGAAAAAAAAATTCTATTGAGATTCCAAAACACCAAACACAACAATTTTAAAACTCGTTTTCATACCAGATAGCAAAGGAGTATAATAATATTCCTGTTTCCCTAATTAATTTATCCATAGCATTCACAAATTTGTAAGTTTGTAATTTGATTTTGTTTGGTTTATATAAATTACTAGGATCCATCGGCACCGCTCGTCGTTATTATCTTTCCTTAAAAAATAAAAGTCTTTTGTTTCTTGATGACCAGCGATGCAAACGGCCCATAGTACTTTTTTGTTTGTTTTAGTTCTGTTTATTACATACATGTGTTACACCCTATTAGATTAGTTTAGATTACATTTGCAGGCCTTTGAGGAAGAACAGCTTGAGCTGATCTTAGGACCTTTTGACCATGTTTATTTCTGTTTATATACGTATGTAATTTCAAATTCTGAAAAATTGCATAGTATTAACATAAATTATTAGTAGATCAGATCGAGTTTCTTCAACTTTTATAAACTCTTGCATCCCAAAGAAGCACTATAACGATTTCTCTTACCCATATGTCGATATCAGACTATAATAGTAAATTTTACCGGCGACCATTGATCGCTGCAATTGTGATCGCAACAATTGGGTCAAGAATCATGGTGCCCGATACCGGAATTGTTAGCGCAGATAGTTCTTTGCCTAACTTTAAGTAGCATTATTGTCGTGAACGTTATGTAGTAACCGATTAGGTAATATCAAAGAACTAAGAGTTATCTGATTGGATTAAGTACTTGAAATATTTCTCCAAAATTTAATTAGGTAAAGATAAAAAGATTTATTTTGTTAATGCCGGTTTTTTTAGTAAATACATGTTTTTTTCTGTTTTATACCTACATAGCTGAAGCTCAGAAACTATATAGAGCTGATAAAAATGTTCTAATTATATTTTTGAAAATAGCGTATGTAGTCAGCAACAGCTGAAATTTCTTCGGCAACAGATGTACTGTAAACTAGTGCAATCAATGTATTGTGACGAGTATACTGTAGGATGCTTTGTTCTTATTATTCTTCCTACAAGTACTCCCCCTTTCAGATGCTCCGAATATTCCTAAAATCACGGCAAAATTGATGAATTTCACAATTGTTAAGTTTGAACTAATTGGTTAACGACAGCATAAACGTAAATGGATAATATAAATACCAATGATGTCCAAAACTTTTGGTGTGACACACAATGGTTACACGATTAAGTGATTAAATATTCTTTACAATCGACAAAATTCCCGTAGCAATAAAATACCCACAAAACTATTAACAGTTGTAACACTTCCCTGAAATTTTAAGGCGGCCAAAAACCGACCAAAGAAACGAAATAATAGGCGATTACATATCCCCAGACACGTTCGTAGTTAACAGAAGTTTGTCGGGACGTGACTGAATGTTTTTCCTCCTAATGCTCTTTGTGACTCCGTATGCGAATGTCTAATGTCATCGGTTTATTACCGACCGACTGGTAAAGATAAAACCGCGTGCATTTTTTTCGCCTTAATCGAAATGGCACATCGATTCCGTTGCAAAAAAGCGAACGCATTCGCGCCGTGAGAAACTAACGCCCTGTACTTGTCTTTGGTGTTAATGAAGGTTTTCTCGTTTAATGGAGAAATATTTTATCTAATACAGTCTGGTGTAACTAATTAGCGTTATCTGAATTTGTGTCAAAAGCAAACAGCCGTGAAGTTGGTAAAAACGGACTCCAAACGACCGACGCATTTTCTAGATTTGATTTATTAGGAGTGATAATGTTTTAATGTAGATACGCCTTTAAAATCCTTAAAAAAAAACAGTGGTAAAACCATAAATATCATAAAAAGTATCAATAATTTTATCAATGTGAGTATAAAGGACAATTTGTGATCCAAAATTACTCCAAGGCAAGCTAGTGTAACATCTATAAAATAATTATATTTAGTAGGGTTTTAAAAAAAAAGACGCAACATTCATTAAATTGTAAAAATTTTCCAATGGTCATTCTGTTTTTACTTCCAAGTACACCAAACATTTTTTGACTGGATAACTAGGCATATATAAAATTATTTAACTCTAATGGAGTTGATACAAGGCAGGTTTGGAACTGCATAAAATTCTTAGAATGTCTGGGTGCCTATCAAAGTTACCTTAATCTGACTGCTGATAGGCTTGCTAAGCAAGGAACCAATCTGTGTTAATAAGAGCATAGCAATATTTGTTGAGACTACGAATAGTTTTGTCAGAAGGTATTATCTCTCACTGAACAAATGATAAAACCTGGACATACTGTGTTAGTGTGTTGACTAAGTTGAACACACTCATTCCTAATCCTAATAAAACAGATAAAAAA